GTTGTCCTAAATGGTGAAACGTGTTATGTTTTCATGTGTTGTTCTAGAATGGTGAAACGTGTTATGTTTTCATGTGTTGTTCTAGAATGGTGAAACGTGTTATGTTTTCATGTGTTGTTCTAGAATGGTGAAACGTGTTATGTTTTCATGTGTTGTCCTAAATGGTGAAACGTGTTATGTTTTCATGTGTTGTTCTAGAATGGTGAAACGTGTTATGTTTTCATGTGTTGTTCTAGAATGGTGAAACGTGTTATGTTTTCATGTGTTGTTCTAAATTGGTGAAACGTGTTATGTTTTCATGTGTTGTTCTAAATTGGTGAAACGTGTTACGATTTCATGTGGGGTAACGATGATATCGCTATTTATTATAATATTGTTATCAATAATTTTTTATCAAACACAACCTATCTATATGGATCAGAACTGAAGATTAACCCAGAAAATAATGTAACTAATTTAATATACTGACATAATGTCATAAAACAAAAACATTTAATGGTTAGATTGCAGTTATTTAGCAGTTGAGTATTTTTGTTGTTATCGGCATTATCGGCTATAATCCCAATCATGTTTCAACAGTTTATGAGATTTAGGATGCTTATGGCTAATTAATGTGAATGCAAATACTTAAGGATAAAAACAGATACAAGTCATAACACATAGAAAGGAAAAAAGATGCATTTACAGTGCCAACATGCTTCCCTTAAGATTATTCAGTAAAACATTTCTGTTTGACCAGTTACGTGTATATCTATGATGTATATATACATATATAGGAGAAATAATACTTCTGTCTTTGAATATATATGTGTATTGAGTTTTCATTAAATTTTGTTACTGTGGATACATATTTATTGTCTCATATTTCATCGTTATTGCAATTATTTTATATAAAAAGTTATATTTATTTTCTGAAGGTACAGAATGTTAACTTCGAAAAATGTCAAGTGGCTAATAAAGATTTCAACTATTACAATATCAATGTTATTGTAGTTATTTTCAAGATGTGGTTAGCACAAAAAAGGAACTCCATTTAATAATTCGTTGAAATTAAGTTATTCATTCTTAAACCTACATGTTAACCTTACAGCGTTCAATAATAGGAAAATATTCTTGTTAAAGAATTATTTTGTGAATAAAAATACAGAAAACTGAGTGCGCTGTTAGAAGTAGTAGAAGTTTTAACTATTTACACAGGTTCAATAGCGATTCAGCCATTATAGAGGAATGGAATAACACACTATACAGGGCCGAACTTTTTACCAAAGCTGAAGTATTGCCGGATCTTCCAAATGCTAGAATATTACGATTCTTTTGTTGCGGAACAGATCCAAACACACTCACTTCATCTTGAAAACAGAAATTCCACGTTTTATATTAAGAAAAATAAGCAGTGAAAAAAGTGTTAAAGTTACTGTTCTTCTTCTCTATGTTGAAGATGAAAACGTATAGTAAACAAAGGAGGATCGATACGAAACAAAGTTGTGCTGAGAGATATTAATATGAACTAGGGAATGCTGCTGGGTCTTTAAAATTTAATAACTCTTGAAAAAAGTGAACTTTTTAAAATTCCGGAGACAGATGACATGCTACTGCCATATGATATATTGATAAATAAGAACAAATATAAGCGAAATATTCGCTGAAAATTAACTATAGCAGAATGTGTCTCAAATGTGTCGCTGTACTTCAACACAATCTAAAGTATTTGTAGTTAAGTACTTAAACAGCTAGAAGTTTGTAATTAACTGAACTTTAGTATTAAGCGACTAATTATACAATGATTTCATGGAATTAACAGTCTGGAATCGAAGAAAACATTAATAGTTGGCGCTTGTATTTAGGTTCTCAACGAAAATATAGCAAAAAGTTTAGTGGAAAGCTTAGTACTTTCTCCTTCAAGTGAAGCTAAACGATTTACTTCTCATGTATCATAAGTCATCTATAAACACGCCAACAAAATAAGGTAGTTACACTATCAGTTTGTCACGTTTTCCTACATTACTAACAGTCAACTCAAGATTGCCAATAAATACTAGTTGTAGATACGTATTTGCAGTGTTGCCAGTTTTATACCAACCAGTCAGTGACCAGTAATTCCTAGAGATCATACTTTGGACAAATTACTCTATCAGTTTTCGGAGAAATGCTTGCAATTACTAAACAAAACACGGGTATCCTTTCCTTCACAAGGTAAACTTTTTTTAGTTTAAAATAAATTTATTTAATTATTTTTTATTTAACCCATGTTTAAATATTTATCAATTTAACTGTTTTTATATTTTAGATGATCAACAGCTTTAACATTATTATGTTTTTGGGATAATTCATGTTGGATATTTCATTTTAACAGAGTGATTGGTGTAAATATGCATTTTAAGTTGTTTAGTAAAAAATTTGTAATGAAGTATTTAATGCTATTGATAAAAGATATAAATTATTTGTCTATTTGGTCAACATTGTTCACATCTCTTGTTTAGCTGGCCTCGGGGAGACAGAATGCGAACGGGGGTATGAAGAATCTGTAGGAAACCTTTACAAGCAGATGATGCTAATGTTGACATGTCTGTGTGAAAGATAAAGCTGATACACTCAATTTGTATGGAAGTAAATTTGAATACCAGAAGGTTCTGTCTGCTTCATTGTAAGGTAATTGGGTAGGCAAGATTTCTTTAAGTCAGATTTTCAACATGTATTATTTGTATAGAGTAATTCATAAGCAATTAAGGTATCAGTTATAGTTCCTCACAAGCTGCCTAAGGAAGATTAAACAGATCATTGTACAACATCAGCAACTTATTGAGTCATTTACAGATTCTAGACCAGTGCTGATGACTGTGGACCATCAGATTGGCCATTTTTCAACCTTAATGAATAAGATTCTTTTTGATGCAAGTGAACTTGCCAACATTTACATTTTTCCCTGAGGAGGACCTGGCAAGATGTTTTAGGAGGTTTAAGCGTGTCCAAATGTGAAATGGCAATGTCGAGCTGCAGACAGCACAACACTTTCTCTTAAGCTTAATTGAAACTACAGCAGATGCTATTAAACACTTGCGACGAATTAATTATTATATATTTCTTTTAATAGTGATGTTTGTTTAAATTAAGTTAAGATTTAGAAATGTACATAACTTATACTGTTGAATATGTATTGCGAAACTCCCACCTATTCTCTAAAGTTGGAGAAGATCTTCGAGTGTAAGAATCAACAATATATGTGTGTGTGTGTGTATGTAAACGCTAGTGTTAACGTCAGTGTTGTTACGTAAACAAAATATTTCGAGAAACTTTCCACACGCATATAACCAACGATACGCGCCAAAAAAAGTATCTAATATTGGTTTGCTATAGTTGGTGTGGTATATATTTCGAGAAACTCTCCACACGCATATAAATATAACCAACGATACGCGCCAAAAAAAAAATCATCTAATATTGGTTTGCTATAGTTGGTGTGGTATATATTTCGGAAACTATAACTGTGATTGTTATAACGCTTATTAATCGGGAAACTTAAGATATTT